ATTGTGTTAGGGTGTGTGTTGTAACAGTATTGTTCCTGACTTGTAGTGGTGTTTTCCACAATTTTTGTTCGATCGCTTGGTTTTCGGAAGGACACTTATTGATGTTTCCAGCCTCTTTCTGTTGATTGTGTGATGCTTTAAAGGTTTTCCTGTTGAATTGATTGTTGTTTGGGAGTGCCTTTTTGTTGTTAAGTTGATTTATTTTGAAAGCACTTGCTGGTGTTTCCATAGATTCAATGGTGTTTGACTGTTAGATGTTCGAAAGACCCTGTCGCTGTCTTAAGGTTAATAAATATCTTGACATTACCCACAAATATAACCCGTGATTACAACGAGAAAAGGTGCTGATTATAAAACCTGTATCTGTAACAGGAGCGGAGCGAGAAAGACATGGCCCAGCACGAGGTCGAGATGAAGGACCTTCAGCGGATCATCAACCATGACAACACGCTCAAGCAGTTCCTTGTATTCAAGGCGCATGACCGCGCCGAGTTAAAAGAAGAGGAAGAGGCCAAGAAAAACAAAAGTATAGTTTACATTCTAGGCCTCATCGTCTGTCAGGCTTTAGGATAAAGCCATGCGTTGGGTCCAAATGACGATTTTTAACAGTTAAATTTGCTTTTATGTCTTATATATGAAACATCTGGCGATCATGAAATAGTATTATAATGTAAAAGTATGCCGTGTCTAATATGGTGATCACTTAATTACCACGTCAGTTTGATACTTTATTGCTTATAAATAATATATTGTTCCTACGTAGATGCGCGAGACAAGGACACGGACGCTGAGCGGGAACAGATCAATGTGTACGAGGAAGCTTTTGACCGTATAAAGGAGGCTACCAACAAGCATGTCATCTCCGTTATTGTCGACGATTTCATCGCCCGCGAGGACGAAAACTTCGCTCTCTTTAACTACGTCAACGAGATGAACGAGGAAGTGGAAGGACTACAAGAGGAAATCCGAAAAACAGTGGTGGAGATGGAGAGCTTTGAGACCGAGGATATCCGAATGATGGAATCTAGCAAAAGCATATTGCTCGACTTACAGGTTAGAACATAGGTTACAGGCACCTTAAACAGCTTAACACATTTGGTTGTCTGTGGCAATGGGGCCAGATACATGGGAGATGGGGGAGGGGGGGGGGGAGGGGCTGACACAGGGGCCAGACACAGGTTAGATTGTTGAACTGTCAAAATGCTAAAATCAAACACGGCATATACTAACGTGTACACAGTAATTCAACGTGGTTAGCTCAAATCGTCTGCCACCGATTGCTCAAAGCTTAGTTGAGAGTTAACCAGTTGTTAGGGAAAATGTTAAAATTTTAATACAACAAAATTACCATCCTCTGACATGATTTCACTGCTATAGGTGTGTTGATCAGACTGAAGTGTTCTGAGGATCGGTTTTTCATTGAAAGCACATTTTTTTCATTGGCATCAATTTGAATTTTTCACAAACATTTGAGCAATCGAGGCCAGGTTTCCAGAATTTCGAAAACAAAACTGTCCTGACTAATGTTTGTATTTTTATAACATTTGAGGAGCCAACAGTTTACGGAGCATTAACAGGTTTTAATGTCACACCACTGCTGTCATCCAATAAAAAAAATCTTCTCTATAATTCCCTTCGTCCTTTTCTCCTTTTCCAATTTACGTTTTGAAACATTTTTTTTTATATAATTGACACTTAGTGTCCTACGCCATCTTAAGAAATATGAAAATATATACATCTTATATTTTTCCCATCCAAAATGTGGAAATTTGGTGTGTTAAAACTAAACCAGATTATCCTGATTGATATAATTTGACTTCGAACTTTATATAGTACAAATAATTAATTTCAGTTGAGGTACGCCCGTGTGGTTGCCGAAACGGATGTTGCGCAGACGAAGATTGGCGTGACCAAAGGTGTCCTGGACGAGCTACGAAGTGGTGTGACGTCACTGTTTGATACGATCCACTGTGACTCGAGCACTATCACGGCTATGTTAGGGAGCGAGGAGGCGATCACAGACAAAAACATCCTCCACTACATGGGCATCATGGAGCAGCGGACTATGGAGATGCTGCAAATACAACAGTACCTCCACCTCAAGGTAGTCACTGGTCCCAAA